TGACTCTCTAGGGAAGTAAACGATTGCAATTTAAAAACCTGCTGGATACTTCCTTTATTTTTTAAATTGGAAAGTTTACACTTCACAGCATTATATTGTGTGTGTGTGTGTGTGTGTGTGTGTGTGTGTACATTACCTGCTTTTGTGCTTTTAAAAAATCCCTGGGCACTTAGCATAACATAAAAATGATGTTTTAAAAAGTCTATGCTCGGACTTTTAAAATTCCTCATGAAAAGTTTTAAACACTTCAAAGTAGAGAGAACAGTATAATGAATTCCCATGTACCAGCTGCAACGATTATCTACAATTGGCCAAGACTGTCTTCTAGCCCTTTTCTCCATTTATCAAGGTTTTGTTTTTTTTTTTCTCTTAAGGAGTCCCAGGCTGGTCGTTCCACCCTCGAAGTCATGCGTTCTCGGTGCACGGATTTAACAGCGCCTGGGCGGGGGCCACAGTCATCCGGACACCCTCTTTCCAGGTGTCAGCTCTTCCGCGTCAGCGTCCAAATATTTGGGTATTTCTAGTAATTCCTTTTCCTCTGTCCCCTCCTTTTCCATCTGGCCTTCTGATTGTAAGTTCATTCTGTCATTCAGCTCACATATTGTGCTCATTATTTCAACTTCTGCCTGGTTCTCTTGTTTTCTTGCCTCTTAGAATGGGAGCCTCATTTTAAAATCTTAGACTGTCCTAAAATATTAGACTATGTTCTGATGGAATCGCTAATTCAATATTACCACTCTTTATTCCCATACCTGTACTCTCCAAATGTCTTATTTCTCGTTAGGAGGATTTTTCCCTGGTGTGTTGGCTACTTGCCCAGGTGGTGTGTCGGGGGAGGGTGAGACTTCAGTGCCCAGGGCTCCCAGCGTGGGAGCTCAGTCACTCCTCGTCCTTCAGGTCCGCGTTGCTCTCTGCCACTGTTGGAGGAGATGCATTCGCGCATCCTGGGTGGTGGGGACAGGTGGGGGCAGCAACTGCCAGAGGTCGACTAACCCCCAGACTCAGCCCCGCAGGGCCTTGGCAGTGCCCCGATCTTGCTCGGGAGGACACCCGCACCCAGTGGGTGCTGGTACCTGCTTAACCCCAGGTCCCCATCCCCCCATACGCATATGTCTGAGTACGCAAGGTTCTTGTCAATTTTACAGGTATGAAGGCGCAGAGCACACTTTATAAATAACAGTAAAACATACGATGTGCTATATCGCCAGTCCCACAGAGCTGCCAGGTCTCCGGGAGGCTTTGTAGTTCTGTGGGATGCAGCCAGTGCAGGGCCGAGCCCAATGAACCAGCGCGGCTCTCACAGCAATGCTGGGGCACGTTTCACCTGACGCAGGTGCTGGTGAAGCCACAGGACACATGTCAGAGCTGAGCTGGGTCCACGGGGGCTCTTTTCTCACAGGGGTGGTAGTTTTCAGATGTTGCAGGAACATCATCAAGTTTTTGTGCCATTCACGATGTCATCGGGGCATTTCAAATGTAATCTGTATTTTCTGCATCACTTCTTAGGTCAAGAGACAATCACAGCAACAGATCAGGCCCAAGTGGGCATCTGAAGGGTGCGGGGGCGGGTTCCCGGGCGCTGCCATGAGGGTGCCTCCGATTGGGGGGATCCAGCGTCGTGTGTCCCGCGCACAACTAGGGCACAGGTGGCAGGGAAATGCAGCAGACTAAGCAGAAGTGATGAGTTCTGAGCACTAACATTAACACTAACATTAACATTAGTTGTTAATATAATTGTGAGTTTATATAATGTGATTTTAAGCAATGGCTATGCCCAACTACAGTTCCCAAATTCCTGGAACTTCAGCCTCAGTGCCCGACGCCGCTGCTGGACAAAGCCCACAGCCCGCCAGCTCCCTCAACTGTTCCCTCTGCCTTTACTGATGCTTTTTAAAAATCTTCACCTGAGGACATGCTTATTGACTTTCAAGAGAGGGGAAGGGAAGGAGAGAAAGAGAGGGAAAGAAATATCAATGTAAGAAAGATTCATTGGCTGCCTCTCGCATGCACCCTGACTGGGGACCGAACCCGCAATGCAGGCATGTGCCCTGACAGGGAATCAAACCCACAACCTTTCAGTTTACAGGATGCGCTCAACCCGCTGAGCCTCACCAGCCGGGGCTGACATTATTAAATAATTAAAATTCACTGTTTAATTTTACATTTTAGTTAACAATTATTAAATAATTTAATGATTTATCATGCAATTGCTCTTTCAGCTCCAAACCTTCCCAGAGAAGCTGTTTCTTCTTTCCTGAGGTCCCACTGGGCATCAGTCTGTCCAGTGTGTTTATTTCAGTCCCTTCCCAGGAGAACAAGAGCTCCTTGAGGGCGGTGGTCTTTGTCGAGCTCAGAGGTCTGCTCCGGCACTGGATGGTTGCACCCCAGACATGTGGCCTTGATGCCACGCGATGCCACAGAGAACACCACGGGAACCTGGGCTGAGCTTGTAAGAAGATGCTGCCCTGCCCCCCCTGCTGCCGCCGTCTCTTCTCTGAAGCTTGTTTTTTTTAAAATGCAACATGTTTTCATTATACTGCTGCTTTTATTGTATGAGAAGGAAGAACAGGTTCAAAATCGATGCAATAGAGAGAATGATTTGTCTCTAACACGGCTGCTTTTTATTTGCATGGGGCTTTTGACTTCTCTAAACATTTCATGCTTGTTTTTCACTTAATTGTAGAAACACTGACAAATGTGTAAGAAAAAAAGAAAAAGAAACTAAAAATCACCTCAAACCCTGTCTTCCACACACTGTGAGCAGACTTGGTCCCTCCCACCCTCCCTGGCCAGAGCGCTTGCCCGGTGCCCCTGGGCTTCCGCATGACCACAGATGCTCTACACGGTTTGCCATGAATGTCTTTCTGGGATGTTAGTCCTAACTTAGTTCTACCTCGTCACTTGGTAGCTGTGTTGTCTCACTGGGCCCGAGCGTCCCATCTATCTGGGCCCCCCTGGACCCAAAGACCTTGTCTGTCTGGTCCTTGCTGAGTCCGAACAGCCTGTCTACATGGTTCATGGCCTGTTTTTGGTGTCCACGTTTTTCCTGTGCCCCCCTCCCCCATCCATGTCACCCTCACATGTCCTATAGGTAACTGGGCTTATGTCATCATCCCTCTTTGTGGAGGGGACCCAGAGGGGGCAGCTCAAGCTGTTCTCCGCACACCTTATATGTGGAAGCTGCTAACATGCTCAGGAAAATGGTGAAAAAGCCAAGAATGTGAGGGGGGCAGGTGCCCAGAGAGCCTGTCCCCACATGGGGAGGAACCGGGCGCAGCACAGCTCACTTGCACCAGACGGTGACTGACCCCGGACCTGGCCTGTCAGCGGACCAAGGAGAGAAAGGACTGGGAAGGAAACTCTCAGCAACACTGTGGTAGTGAAACGCTTTGTTTTATTGAGGACATTGCAAATCCTTTGTCTACGTGACAGCGTCTCATGCTCGGTCCCACTGGTCTTGGTGCGTGAGGAGCTCATGCAGGTGGTAACGTGTGGTATATACATCAATATACATACGAGAACACTGAAGAGTGTATCTTAGAGACGGTTTCTTGGCTGAATGGTGTTCATATAAAGTGTCCAAATTCTAAAGTCAAATTAAAAGCATACAACTTCAAGTCTGGAGAAGCTTTCAGGGCTCTCTCCATGAACATTCCACGGATCGTGCCTTTAGCTGCTCACGGTCATGTCCAGAAGGACGCCCCAGTCCCTCATGCACTATCAGCCCACACTGGAGCCCAAACAGGTGTTCTTGGGGCTGGGGGCTTGACCCCCCAAATGGTGAACAGGGAAGTATAGCCAACGTTGCCAGAACAGGCTGCCAAGTCACGATTGGGTCAGACCCTGACCCCTCCCCACCCTCCCATTGTGTGGACATACTGTGTGCTGCGGGCCGGCCTCGGGCCACGGAGAGGTGGTCACAGGACACGCCAGGGACAAGGACACACAAAGCTGGACATGCATGATCACAAGGACTCTGCCCTTCCCCATTTATACAGTTGGGGCGGTAAAAAGACATCTTTTGAGAAATTTCACAGAATTTAGAGGTGGAAAAGCCAGCTGATTTTATTTCTCTTCCTTGGTCAAATGTATGCCCAGGGCAGACCTTATATTTGGTGTATTTTAGGATTGAGAAGATCCGCCTGTGTTGCATTTTTGGGTTTGGTTCTCGTGAGGAAAGGAGCACGCGGCCTCCACACAGCAGCCACCGTCCCATTCTCAGACCTCACGGGGGGAGTGGGGGACGAGAGCCGGGGCTGCTTGGTGAGACGACTTGACGTTACTGTACAAGGAGCACTGTCTTTACAAAGTGATTCTAGAGTCTGGAGACCAATGAAAGTACTTGAGTAAAAAGATTCCAGAGAAATCAATACCTTGTGAGATGTTGGCTTGGACGTTTTAAAACAATTGTTTTTGATTACAATAAAAATCTTCAAAATAGGAAAAGATGATGAAAAGTTAAATTAAGACCCAGAATCAAAACTGCAGTTCTTTGGTGTCCCTTGCCTGAGAGGAGGCGGAAGCTGACCCTGAGCGGGGGGGCAGGGCTGAGCCGTGTGGCGAGGACGACCTGGCCTCGGCCGGACCTGGCGGCGCCTGGCTCATGTCACGCCCGTGCCCCCCACCCCCGAGACTTCTCTTCACCCAACCTTCCCGCCAGCAGGATGGCTGCCCGGCAGCCTGGAGCGGATGACGACCAGGGCCCTCGCAGAGCCAGCACTTCAGGTGCCGCTAACAGAGCAGGACAGGAGCCCTCCTGGCCCCCTCTCATCAGGAGTCCTCAGAACCTAACATGTTTCTCAAAAAACGAAGTCCTTGGTTATTGCAACTTTACTGTGAAGTCTCTAAGGTCCAGGCTGAGGACATTGGATGCAAATTAACGCCTCAAGGAAACCGCTGAGTGTCTGCTGCACTGTGGGCTCAGGAGGGAGGGGCGATTTAAAGTGCTAAGTTTCCTGCTTTGTCTCAGGCTTTGTTCACCGCCCCCCCCATCCTGCTCACAGATGAGTGGCTCCGGCTGTCTGTCCTAGAGGATGCCCGGCAGGCCTCCTGACTCCCCACCCCCCAACCTCCCACCTTTCTCCCCGGCAACCGCGGGTCAGGCCTGAGGGCTCTCAGAGCCGAGCCCTGCATGGGGCCTGCCCTGGAGGGTCACACAACCCGGCCCGGGAGAGGTGCACAGCTCGGGTGCCACGGGGACCGCACACAGTAGGGCATCGTTCACCTGGGGCTGGAGGGAGACTCACACTGACTTCAACCATCACCTGATGCGAGGGAAGGCCAGACACACGGGACAGTGCATGTCTATGGAATGTATTTCCTCTGGGCTTTGTCGTCAAAATCCACATCTTTTTTAAAAACTAAGTCCATCTCCCAACCCCCATTAGAAAAAATACCACTTTCAGAGAGAAGAATAAAAACGCAGGGCCTCTCAGGATGTTCTTCTGGGCCAGGGGAGCCTGCGCTGCGGAGGGCCCAGCACCCCCAGACCCTGTCCTGTAACAGGGGCCCGAGCCCGCCCTCTGACGGACTCAGGATGAGCAACCGCCCTACACAAGGCAGAGGCCGGTGTGGGCGACGCTCATCCCGGAACCTGGGCAGTTCTGGCCCTGTGTGTCCTGGGCGGCAGCTCCCCTGGACATGACCACTACAGGGCTCCATGCTCTGCTCCTGTTCCTCACGTTCTCAGCCAGCAAGGACGCAGGACATCGGGCGCACAGGTCGATGCCACACAGGTGACGCTCTGGATTCCGCTGCAGGGTGGGGAGTGCCCGTCTCCGCCCCTGGCACCACAGGAGCCCCCGGCACTACAAGCCGGCCAAGGGCAGGGGGCGGCGCTCCCTCCGTCCACTCCGCTCTGACCCTGATGGCAGCCACGGGTGGCTGGCGTGGGCCTCCGAGCACAGGTCGGGGCGCCGGGCCTTGACCTGCCCAACCCCCTCGCTCAGCTGCCCTGGGCCATCCTGGGTGCCATACGGTGTTGGGCAAAGCCCCTGGCTCCCCACAGATGCCAGCAGCACCCCCGTCCCTGCCACGACTATGCGTGCGGCCCGCTGTGTGGCCAGCTATCATCCTGAATACTTATTTTTCAAACATGTCTTTGATAAACCTGGAAAGAATAGTTTAAAAATATGCCTTAAGTGGTGTTTTTCAAAATGAACATCTACGACCTTAATTCTCCTTCGGTCCCACGAGGCCCTCTGGCTGGCCGCCTGCCCCATGGGCCCCGAGGAAGGAGCGGGGTCAGGCTGGTTACAGTGCGGCAGCCCTGAAGCACACCGCTCGTCCTAACGGCTAAACACTGTTTCAAACCCCACAGGGATGGCCACGTTTACATCTGGTTGATTAGAAGTAAACCAAGAAAAGTTTTCTGTGATGTGATCCTGCGAGGAGCACAGGAGCTTCTGGAGGAGCTGAGGCTGCAGGGACGTGGCCGGACGCTGCGGGCCCTCTCGGCCGCAGGCCGGGCGCCGCCTGCGGGCAGCTGGTGTGGGGACATGTGGGCGCGGGAACTCTCTTTAGGCTACTACTTCCTACCTCTACTTTCTCTTTTCCTGCATATATATATATATATATATATAATGCTTTTTTTTGCAATTAAAATAATGTGGCATAAGAGTGACCTGACATAATTACTTCTTATTTTATAAACCACATTCCTAGCTCTGAATAAATTATTTATTCAAGAATTTCACACGAAGTAACCGCTAAGTCCTAAGCTTAAGGAAGCCCTACTCAGTAGAACTCAATTTCTATCGTAAACTGAGATGGAAAGCAGTCGCTGGGCAACTGGGCGGGGAGAGGGCGCTGCAGAGGCGCCAGAGGTCGGCACCAGACCCAGCCACCCCACCCCGCCTTCCGCTGCATGCTGTCCCCAGGGCAGATGGGGGGTTCTGGGGACACGGCCGGACACCAGGCACCTCCACGTCCCCACCGACGGTCAGGGTGTGAGAGCAAACTGGTCCTGCTCAGTGGGCTTCTCCACCCAGGCGCCCAGCCCCGCCTTGATGAACGCGCGGAACAGGCAGGCCTTGGCTGCCTGGTATTCCTTCGCCACCAGCTTGGACTCATGGTACATGTTGGGCTTGGTGATCTTGGAGCGCAGTAAGTGGGAGGGAACCTGTGTGAAGATAAAAAACAAGTACGACCATTTAAGAAGTAACAGGAGAAGCTAAAACCCAAGATGATGTTCAAAAAATGATATTTAGTACTGTGCTGACTTAGGGGGGGTCGCCAAGTGCAGGGGCTTCCCACAGAAGGACTATTCTCCCATAGAACGGAGCCTGGGAGCCCCGTCCCGGGGTCCGCACTGCCCACCCAGGGCAGCCTGCGGGGAAACAGGCAGTGCTATTGGCCACCCCTGGACAGTGGGTCCAAATGTCCATTTTCAACATCGTAGCTGTTCAGAAACCACGGTGACACTACGCTTGACCACTGGAGCCCCACCCCCACCCCGGCTGGCTACCTCCTGTGTGAGCTGCTGCAAACTCTGCTCCTCCACATCAGGGTCAACGCCAGCTCCGTAACAAACACACACTACTGACTTGCGAATCAATGAAAAATAGTGACACACTGATTTACTCTGTAAGGGTTTATTTGGTGGAAAAAGGGCCCTGCTGCTGCTACTGCAGAAAAAGGGTCCAAAACCCTTCCCGGCAGGGGTAACTGAGCCCAGCAATGCTGGTCCTTCCGGGCGCCTGCTCCTTCCTCTGAGGTGACAGAAGGTTCCTGGCGGGAGGGGTGGGGAAGGAAAAGCTGCCTCTGAGGCTGAGCTGCTTTAAATTTGAAGAGCCCGGGCCAGGGTTTAGGCTGAGTGCCACCAGCCGGGACAGGTTGGGAAGGGCCGTGAGGATGGTGGCGGGCTGCAACAGGGAGGAGCGGTGGGGAGAGGGGCGGGCGTTGCCATGGGAGCGCCTCAGTACCTTGCCGTGCACACGCATCCAGCGACAGTACAACGCGTGCTTACACAGGCGCGACGCTCGGCCCAGCTCGTCCTTGCCGGTCGTGGCGTTGATGACCTCGATGGCCGAGTCGCCCACTGTCCAGTTGACGCTGAAGTTGGGTGCCTTCCCCGGCTGCCGCGCTTCTGCGTTGCTGATGCCTGCAGGGGAGAGACAGGCGAGGTGACATAGAGCCCCTCAGGGCAGGTGTGGGGGGCCTGGTGGACTCACACCAGTGCAGCGCCACCTCCTGCTGCCCAGAAATGCACTGTCCGCTGGGGGTGGGCAGAAGGGCCACAGCACCGAAAATCACGTGACCTCACAGCGCTTCGGAGCCGCTCGGGCAGCAGAGCTGGAAGGTGGGGCAGCCCGTGCGTGGACAGCAAACCCCGTCTTATCTCAGGTCCTGATACTGGGCCACCCCGCCTCATGTGCCCAATGCCAAGATAAAAACAAGTACGACCAAGATCCGACTTCTTAACATGTTTTCTTCCTACATTTGAACAGTTTCTGGGACCAAATGCTTCATTCATTTTCACACATCTGCTCAAGACCATGATTCTGCTAAGTGTACCTGTGGCTCCGCTTGTCTCTTCTGACGCGTGTATTCTAAGAAACCAGCTTAGCCTGGTTCCCTCTCTCCTCTGAGAGTTACTGATGAGTCCCGCTTCACGTGGCCAAGGCACCTGGCCTTTTATACTCTCCCTTTGTAGCCAATGTTCAGTTTTAGTGCAGTGCAGGCAAAGTACCCTGTACAGGTGACGAGTTTGGATTCAACTACTCAGGACCACGTGATGCACTTCAGAGCCGAGTCGCGTGACAGACTTGAGAGAACAAAGTGTTCATTCATTATCAAGTCTGTCACTGAAGGGAGACCACTGAGAGACCCCGCAGCGAATGGAGTCTCTGTCTCAACTTTCAGCAACTGCTCTAAATCACATCTGTAATCAGGCAGGGCCCCCTGCGAGACAGAACCGTAGGGTGTGTGGAGAGTTCCGATGAGGGACGGGCTCCCAAGGTGGCGGAGGCTGAGAGGTCCCACAACCTGCCACCTGCGAGCTGCAGACACAGGACAGCTGGTGGTGGAGCGCCGTCTGAGCCCAGAGGCAGAGACCCAGCGGGCCAATGGTGTGAGTCCCAGCCAACCGGGGACGGTGAGACGAGATGGCCCAGCTCCATCAGCCAGGCAGGAAAAAGGGACGAGCGCCTTGCATGCAGGCCTCGGTGGATCCACTGTGGCTGGGCCCCGCCCTGGGGGGGCGGTTTGCTTACTGAGTCCACTCATCAATGCTGACCCCCCGCAAACACCCTCCCCGAGTGCCCCAGAAAGAAAGCATATTCTAGGTGTCCGTGGCCAGTCAGGGCGACGCAGAAAACTAACCATCATGGACCCTAGGCTTCCGTGGTTTACACTGAACCTCTGCTTTCCCGAACAGCTCTTTGGGTGTCCAGGAGTTTCCGTCTCCTTGGTGTTTTGTTGTGCTTTCACCGTTTAAAGACCAGCAGCTTCTCAGGTTACTTGTGAGAACACACTCACTCTCTCCCGAGTTGTCCTGTCATCAGGCTGCTGACACGCAAGGTATTGTTCCTGGGATCCCCAGGCTTGCTTCCTGAGGCATTGCTAGAGTATGCAGACTCCTTTTGTTTTTTTCCTCCAAAAATAAACACTGGAGATAGAGCCTCTGAATCCTTGAATAAAACCTGATCATTATCACTTTATCCAAATGCCTGATTACTATTTGATTAAATAAAAAATGCTACAATAAACGTATTTTCTCCTCAGAACTGGAAGGCATTTCATCACTCAGGGTGGCCCCTGGTGCATGGACGAGTGTCATGTTCTGAGATCCCGTAAGATGGGCCAGGGATGGACCCTCGGAAAGTTAATTCTGCTCAGTACTTAGTGCTCCTTCTCAGTTTCAGGGCTTGTGGCTCCCTCAGTAGCAAGACATTTTCTCCTAGTATTGCTTCCAGCTTCTCTTCTGAAAGGCTGCTGGGCAGACGTCAGGTCCGTTGCATGAGTGCCGTGCCCTTCCCAACGCTTTTGGGTTTTACATCTTTCTGCTCGAGCTGCTGGAGAGTCACTTGACTCACTGCCCCTCCCCTCACGGGAACGGGGCTCCGTGAGGAGGGTGGCGTCTTCCATCCCAACACCCAGCGCTGCGCCAACGGCTTGCTCAGGTGACATGAGCCGAGCTATTTTCTAGACCTTCAAACTGGTATTTGATTTCTGCTCTTACTAAATGCTCTACACATATTAATAAGGTTTATTATTGATAGACCATTCTTTTCTCTGAATTATTTTTATTTTCTCTCAGTTGTTCTGTTTTCTCATATAGATCATTCTCTTTTCTGTTTATTTTCCTGAAGAGTTTGATGAAGGTTATTCATTCATGTTTGAGAGTAAAAATCTCAGTGGATGAATAGAGGCAGCTGACACGGTTTCTTCTGCTGCAATGGATTTCGGGGAGAGCCTGGAGGGAAGGTCACACCCAGCCAGGACCCACGTCCCCTTCTAGACAGAGTCCAGAGGTCCCGCCAGGTCCTTGCCTGGCTGTTGGGACAGTCGGGGGCCTTAACCACACAGGGTGAGACTCCCGCCAAGGGAGCGGCTGGCCTCTCCCCAGGGTCACGAGGCCCTGAGACGCCACCACACAGTTAGGGGTCAGTCACAGTCTTGACGTCACCATCTCCCCACTTCGTTGATTCTTTGTGGCCAGTATACTCTCCCTTGTGCTATGGTTTCTGTCAGTGCGGTTAGTCCAGGGCGGGGGGAGTCTTCAGTGGCTGCTTCCTCATCCGCTCCATCTCCAACACCTGCCTGGCCTGCAGGGAGTTCCCACAGGTCACCATGCTGTCACTGAGCTTATTTAAGCCACAGCCTCTCAAGGAGTCAGGGAGGAGTTTTGGGGGGTAGGCAGGTGGGGGTCTGTGAGGGCACAACTGGCAGGGAATCTTGAGCACGGCGGAACTGCATCACTCGTGAGTAAGTGGGCAGTGCTTGTACTGTGTCATTGTCCTCCCACGTCTGCTACTCCTGTGCGATCAGGTTCCAGTCAAGGGCTACTACTGAACGATACTTAAACCTCAGAGCTACAACATTTTGCATTAAAACTAGAAATGGTCAATTAACTACCTAATTAGTAAGTAAAAGTAAGAAAAAGAAAGACCGTAACAGTACAAATATTTTTTATGTTTTAAGCTAAACAAACAAACAAAAAAAGAAAAAAGAAAATGAGGCAAAAGGAAAACAGCTAGCTTGAGCTTCCAATTCTAACCATATGCTTTTTCTGGGACAGAATATCCCCAAAGGTCACGAGGACACGGTTCTCCAAGTCCCAGGGGCCAACACTCGCGAGAGGCCCGACACCAGGGAGAGCTGATCTTTCTGGGGCTGCAAAGCGGGAACCAGGGTCGTGAGTTAATCACAGGCTGCTCTGCAGAAACCGGGGACAGCAGGACCCGCCAGGCTGGAAACGAGAGTCTCTGTTATAAATTACGTGAGTCAAAACTTCTAGAACAAAAATACAGAGAAACTAAACTGGCCTAGTAACAAATACAAAACCCAAAGAGCTGACATTTATTCGTTCTTCCCTCTTACAGGTATTCTCTGAGTTCCTCATCTACTGATGAGTGATCAAAGAGAATGACATGCATAATGGTTACCCACAGGTATTTAGGTCACTGTGGGTTTCTGCTCCCGAAGCTCTCTGTCATGTGGTAATCGACTTGGAAAATGTGTCGTTTACAATCTCGATTGAAAGTGACCCTTACTCTGCAGAGAGAGACCTGGGAGGGAGTGAAGTGTAAGGAACCTGGCGTGCAGCGCCTGACAGTGACAGTGACACCGGCCACCTACCTGGGGTCCCAGCCCCTCCGTGTCGCTGACCCCTAGGGTCCCAAAAGCTGTGAAACAACATGTCATTGAAGCCAGGAGCAGAGCACCTTCCAGACTTCCATCCTGGTTTTCACTAAAATCGGCATGCCCGGGGCTGAAGGGAAAAGTGACGGAACCCAGGCCAGCGGTGAGCAGCTGCCGGACCCGGCGGCAGGCGCCTGCCGCTCTCACGGCCTCCCCACCGGGCTTCTCTTTCCAGACCAGACGCTCAGCTCCTTCCCGACACTGCGTTTCAGAACCCTGGGCTTCCCACCCGGAAGGCAGTCTCATTGGGCCAGTGGTCCTCTGTGCAGAGCCCTCCGCACCTGGCTGGGCCTAGTGAAGCAGCGAGACGGGGTGGCGATCTGGGGGTGCCAAATGTGGTTTTAACATACAGAATGTTAAAAAAAACAACCACCCAAAAGACAGGCCAAGCACATCTCATAGAATCTGGAGTCTACAGGCAGTTTAAGGTCATTTGGGTCAGTCTGTCACACAGAACCCATGTGGCCACATCCACAAGAGGCGCTGGCCATCCTCCCCAGGTGGACCGCTTCCTTCTGCTCATGATGCTCAGTCCCTCTCAGGAAACTACTGGGCTGGTCACAAAGTCCATTTAGTTTTTTTCAAAGAAGCATTTTTCATTTTCACCAATAAGTTGAGTGATTTGGGTATTCTGAGGACGTCGGCTGTCTCCATGTCTCAATTTGATCGCCAACTTCAACTGGTCTACCCGACCGTGGAGCATTGTCCAGTGAGAAATCTCCAGCATGAAACTTTGTAAACCACTTTTGACACATTCAGTCAGCCATAGTACCTTCTCCAGACACTGCACAAATCTTTTTTTTTTTGCCTTTCAGTTGCGTTTTTACCTTTCTTGAAATAATAAAGCATAATATGCCAAAAATTTTCTTCCACCTTCAATATTAAAATGGCTACACAAAAATTCACCAATTTTGATAATTTTTTAAAAAATGCACACTGATATAACAGCTGTCACAACACAATCTACTATATATATATTTTTTAATAAAGTTGAGTCACCTTACAGAAAAAAACAAACAAACTTTTTGGCCAACTCAATATATTCTAGAGAGTTCCAGTCACCAGGAAGTTTTTCACTTGGGCACAGAAGGAGACGTGAAAGCCCAGATGGCGGGTTCTTGCAGAACAGAGACGCCCGAGCAGGTGGGGACTGAGAATGTGTGGCCGTGGGACACACCCGGAGGGCAGGTCTTGGACACTGGCTAACCCCGTATGGCAACTCGTCCCTGTGAGCAGAAC